CTGGGCAGTAGATGGATATAAAACTATAAATGGATCGGGTCCTGAAATTAGCATTGCTACAATGTAGTCTGTACAATAGATGCCCAAGAGTGAGAGACCGAAATTTCCCATGTCATATTTTAAAATGACATTAGTTTCCATTTTGCCATTTTAAAAATATTTTTATTCTTAAGAAAAAGGAGGTAACAAATGCTATAAAACACAATTTCTGTACCATTCAAAGCAAAAAAAAAAAAAAAAAAAAAACTTATTTAAAAATTAATTTTACCTGTCTTCTTTTATATACAGTCAAAAGTCGTTAATCCGGACACCCATAATCCGGAATGATCTATAATCCGGACCTCAAAGCTACAAACTTTCTGCGCATGCGTCAATGCATAATGCGTTCATGAATGCGTGGAATACTTTTTACCCATGCGCATATATGTGTGCGCATGATACGTTTATGCATGCGCGTTTAATGTATAATGGACGGTATAAGCTAAAAATTATCTAATTATCTATTTCAGGTAATGTTGCAGATTGCGTTGTTCCTTAATCTTCGAATTGAATCTGGCTTATTATTTTTTGCAGACTGTCAGAGCAATTTTATAAAAGTAAGCTTGAACTTTCGATTATGTCAAAAAAAGAATTTTCGATTCTGGAGCTACCAAAGGATCTACAAAGCGAAAGAATGTTTAGATGTCCATCAAACAAAAAGTGGAATGGCTGCAAAAAATGGATAAAGGCATATCCTTTGTTTCTCTAACCATTCCGAAATCTGTTTATCAATTTCACTCTGCTCTGTGGGGGCGGGGGGGTGTCGCTGCGTGCAATGAACTGGAAGTTGATCTGTCAGCGCTATTCTTATCTTCAGGGCAGATGTTTTTATTTTATTCAGCTTATAATTCCTTACTAAATTTAGTATTTAATCTCGATGTATTCCGTCTTTGATATGATTTAAATCAAATTCCTCGTCATTATAAATATCACGAGTACACATCAAATAGTTTTTTCTGGTTGCAATTTTCTAATTTCGACTATGCGTAATGTATGCTTTACGCATGCGCAGCGTTGAAAGAAATGTTTAATAAAGTTAAACAAATAAAATATTAAGCTTTTTTTTTTGTAAATTTTGATACCCTTTAGATCATAATTGCTCTTTATTTCATAAATTACGGTTTCATGTTTTTAATATGTACTAATTTCTGCACGCCATCTTGACCAGATTTAAATTGATGATCTATAATCCGGAAAAATCGATAATTCGGAATCGCCCAACGAGTCCGGATTAAAGACTTTTGACTGTATATATATATATTTTTTAGGTACTTGTTCAGAAATTTGAAATGTGTGTCAGTTTTCTCGTAAAAATTCACTTCACGCAATTCTTTTCTGAATTTCATATTAAAAAAATCTGGCTTTTTGCCCTTACAGAGTGGGGCAAGTTTTTATACTTGATACCTCAGGTTTAGAAAGATTTCAAAGCAAGATTTATAGGAAAGAAATGCGACAAAATCAAAAATGTCTTCATATGACATATAAAATGTGTAATGAATGAATTTTATGGGATATTTGTTATGATTTTTTTATTTTTTGGAGAATTTTTTAAAGAACAGTGAAAACAAAGTTTTTTGAATTTTGTACTTTTGATCCTAAAAAACCTTTCTCTTAGCATGTTTATCTTCTTTATTTTCTTGTGTTTTCACTAGACAGAAGCTCAAAAATTGCAGAAGTGGTTCTAATCTTGTCACACGGACAGTTATTTGCAGAAATGATTTTTTTCAGTTAAAATAGAGAAATTGAGTAATTAAAAAGATTCATCTTATATGTCTCATTGCACTGTACTCATTGCACTGTATGCATTTTGTCAACTGGTGCAATCTGTATGGGTCTTGTTCAGTAAAAATTTTTGCTAATCCCTAATCTCTAAATAGGTTTCATACCATCCTTAAAAGTTCTTAATTTCTTCCAGAACCTGCAAAAGGTCCTTAATTTTATTCATCTGACTTTTTTTTTATGACTAACAGTTTCAGTGTTAATTAACACTTCGGAGGAATATTTTTCAGCGATGCATTGACAAATACAGTCAAAAGTCGTTAATTCAGACCCATAATCCGGAATGATCTATAATCTGGACCTCAAAGCTACAAACGTTTTGCGCATTGACGCATGCGCATAGGCGTTTACGCGTGCGCGTAAGACTTTTACGGCTGCGAATATGCGTGTGCGCAAGCGCATAATACGTTTATGCAAGCGCGTTTAATGTATAACGGACGGTATAAGCTAAGCTAAAATTATCTAATTCAGTTAATGTAGCAGATTGCGTTGTTCCTTAATCTTCGAATTGAATCCGGCTTATTATTTTTTGCAGACTGTTAGAGCAATTTTATAAAAGTAAGCTTGAACTTTCGATTATGTCAAATAGAATTTCCGATATATATTTACTAATATGTAAAGGATCTACAAAGTGAAAGTATGTTTTGAAATCCGAAATCTGTTTATGAATTTCACACTGCTCTGCGGCAGGGGGGGGAGAGAAACGCACAATTTAATTGGAAGTTGATCTGTCAGCCCTATCCTTATCTTCAGGGAAGATGTTTTTATTTTATTTGGCTTATAATTCCTTACTAAATGTAGTATTTCATCTCGATGTACTCCGTCTTTGATATGATTTAAATCAAGTTCCTCGTCATTGTAATTCGCTTCTGATACTGAAGAAAGTGACACAGAAGTTATTGAAAACGAAAAAATTTCGATTGACAAATTAGTCGGTATTCTCGACACAGCAATTATACGACTTGAATACCGGAACTTTGTAACTAAACAAAAATTATGTCTGTTTAATAAAGAGAAAGTATTATCACATGAAACGAAGCAACTTAAACAACTTACATTGAAAGAAATGTTTAATAAAGTAAACAAATAAATATTTAGCTTTTTCTTTTTGTAAATTTTGATACCCTTTAGATCATAATTGTTCTTTATTTCATAAATTACGGTTTCATATTTTTAATTTTGTAATTTCTGCATGCCATCTTACCAGATTTAAACTGTTGATCTATAATCCGGAAAAATCAATAATCCGGCATTGCCGAAATTCCGACGAGTTCAGATTAACGACTTTTGACTGTATGTATTTGATGGTTTAACGTTTGAATTCTTTTGAAACCATGCAGCACTAAATTTGACAATTCCAAGATCAGTTTACATAGAAAATTTTTTTTGAGGTTTGCTGATGTTTTTTCCTGACAAACATAATAACATTGATAAATATCATAAAAAATTATAATATATTAAAAATAATATTTTTATTTTCTGTAATATTTTAACTGTTTGACTACTATGCGTCGCAAAAGTGCTGTGTTCATTTGTCTCAAAAACCGCGACGCAGTTAGTTATTTTAGAATGCACTCATGTTACAAAGTGCGCATGAGGTCAGACTACGTACGTTCACACCCACAGAGCAACCTGCATCGCGGTTTCCGAGAGAAATGAACGTAATGCTTTTGTACAGCGTAGCAGTCAAACAGTTAAAGTGACATTGCTTTACATTTTGGTGACTTATTAAAATTTTGATTCTGAAAAATAAATTAAATAATAAATGCTATGAAGCACAGTTTGCAAAACATTGATTAGGGAAAAAAATTGCTGCTGTTGTTATTTTAAATATAATTTCATTTATCTTCATTTATATTTTTTCATGATAAGAGTAATGTCATGTTGTATCCAAAGCACTGTTTGGTTGAACGAGGCACAATTCAAACTTAATGGAAATTGTCTATAGGCATAATTATGTGTACTGGACTGAAATAATCCCATATTACTGTTGAAAAAGCCAGGAATTTGTCTGGTATTAATATGGTGTGGGGTTTTTAACCCAACTCACTGGAGAATAGTAACTAAAAGTGCTTGCTGGTTCCATTTTCACTGCCATTTGTGGAATGCATGGCTTTATTACCAACAAGATGGTGCCTCAGTGCACCATAAGGACATACAAGCAAACCTGGATCAAAATATACTAGGCCAGCAGATAGGATGCAAGGAGTAAATTGAGTTTCCTGCACATTGTTTGAACTTTACACTACTCGATTTTTTTTTTTTTTTTTTTAAATGATGCAAAATGAAAGATTAGATATGCATACGATGTAAAGACCTTATTTTCTTCTAACCAATTGTTTTTATTTTAAGAAACTTTCTGTTGCCTTCTGATTTGAACTGTCTGCCAGAATGCAAATTTTAATGGTGTATTCGGAAATAGTATTTAAGTAGGAGATTTTAAGAGTTCGCAGTAGGAGAGTAAGTTCTGAATTTATGGCACATGTTTGAAAATGCTCTGTAGTTGAATAGTTGGTGCTAGCCATTTACTTTAGATAGTATTGATATTCTATGCTCGTGTTTGCTGTGTGCAGCCGATTAAGCGGTTTAGATTGAGTAGGAGCCAGTTGTGTAGCTAAAATTTAATTCACTGTGAGTGTATGCACTATTTTGTATTCAAGTTAATTAGCCACAAGTGGTGGTTAAATTGTTAGCACTGAGTGAGTGCATTTTCTGTTCCTTTTACTTAAAACTAAAAAGGTTGTTATAATCTTTGTTTGCAGTCATCTGTTCTTCCAAGACATAGCGAGAATTCGCTACTTCCTCTTTCAGTAGGTTCTACAATTTATGCTCCCGAAACATACAAGGAGATTACAGCCATTGTAAACCACATAATCTGGATGGACACACTTTGGGATAACGTTCAAGCAATTTGGGCATAAATTTCTCTAGACACTTTGGTACGAAGTATAGAATTGGTCCTGACTCTTACTGAAGTGAAGCGATGCTGAAGGCAACCATTTTGAACATTTATTTTAACCACTAATTGAAACATTCAGTTTGACTAGAAAGCTTACTTATTTTTCTAACTGGTCTATAGTCTTACTTTTTCCAAAAAAAAAAAAAAAAAAAAAATATTATTTTAAGTTGAGAAATAAATTTTTCCTTGTGTTTATTAATGTGATTTTTCTCCTCTTTTATAGAATGAATTTGAGGATTTTTTATTGGAGCAAATTGATTGTGTATCCACAGACAACATTGAGGTAAAACTTACTGATTTGATTTTTCATGTATTTGAAAATGTAGTATTTATACATGCCTTTTATATTGTAAAAATGCACTTTATATGAAGCTTTCTATATATAATTTAATAATTAAGTTCTTATAGACAGACCACTTCATAATCTTACTGAAATCTTTTCTCTTAAACTATCAATAATTGACATATTTATGCAGTTAATATTAATAACTGAAAAATATCTTTTTCCCTCTCGCCCACTACATCAATTTATTTGCTGTGCACTTTCAACCTAATAAAGATAAAAGTTCTGATGATAGCAGTTATATAGGCTAAGCAAAGTGGTATATTCTGTCAGGTGGTTAAAATTAACTTATTCTCCAGATGAACATAGCAAAATAAGGAAAATTGGCTACACCAGCTTAGTATAAATGCTTTTAGAGAATGTCATGCTCAGTAGAGAGTAAACTTAATGGTGAAAATAACATGAAGGAGACACATTGGAATAAGAGAAGAGAGCAACAAGATATTTTTTCTATTGAATTCTGTACCTTGATTAATTTCTATATTAACTTTACTGTTAAAGAGAAAGATTAAAAGGTAGCTATTTCATTATGCCTTTCTTATCTTTTTCCTAAGAGACAGAGCCAACTTTTCTGTACCATTTTCTTTAATTATTATTATGACCTAGAATAGATTTTGCAAATTATAAATTATTATTTGGATATTTTACTGTTTTTTAATTACCATAATTTCCAGAACTATGGCTGCATCAATGAAAATTTGGGAATTATGCATTTGGGAAGAACTGGGGGGGGGGAGACTAAAATTGTGCAGAAACAACATATCAACGTAAACATTGCACTAAGTTAAATTCTTCATGGCATCACCACAAACATTGCACTAAGAAGTCACAAGACTTTGATATATGGCATTTTAGCTAAGAAAAGTGCACAAAATGAAACAACTCAAAAATAAAATACAAATGAGATCTGTTGATACTTTGATACTTGTCAGTTAGGCTGGCCTTAGCACGATATCTATCGTGCTCTTACCAGCACCTCAATTATTCCTGGGTAAGGCAAACCTGGCATGAAGATCTTCGAGTGGTAAACTCTGTGAGTAAAGGAAATTAGAAGTAAATTAGGCCCATGCCTGTGAGAATTGAAACTGTGAGAAAATAAAATAAATGGAAAAAAGTGGAAAGGGATATGCCAATTATTTAGATATTGTAGGTAAAAAGATGAGTGGCATACGGGCGGAGGTTAAAGTCTTCTTCCAGGAGTTCGTACCTGAAATTATCTGCATAATTAACAATGTTAGTGTTGGTGGCCTTGGTATAAAAGTTATTATTTATTTTCCCAATGTAAGTTTTGATGTCATCTAGTTTAAGGTCTTTGTGTAGGTCAGTGTTTCTAATGAATCATGGAGCTCCCGTTATTTTGAAAAGTGTGAAGTTTGATATAATCAGATGTTGAAGCTCCGCACCAGGCTGGGGATGCATAAATAAGAATTGGGCATAAGATGGAGATATAGATCCTTCATTTCCTGGCGAGATCAAGCGTGGAAGTTGAGGTAATAATGTTAAGTTTTCTTGCCACACCTGTTGCTTTGCCAATGGCTGTCATGACGTGAGGGCTCCAGGTAAGCTTGGAGTTGAATTTGATGCCGAGATATGTTGCTTGAGTGGCTTAAGGCACTTTTGCATTAAATAATGTCATGTCAACATCCACAGTTTTCTTGCAGTGACGACCTATGAGCAAGAGTTTGGGTTTAGTTTTGTTAGTATGAGTACTTCACTTACAGCACCAATGTTCGATTTCATGCATCAGGCTCTGGATGCTAGTTATTGCATGACTGAAGTTGAGTGAAGAAGACAGAATAGCAGTGTTGTCAGTGTAGCAGGCAGTGATGCAATTAGTATTGCTATCAAACATCAGGAAGTCCATGGCATAAATTAAGTAAAACAAAGGCCCTAGATTAGATCCTTGAGGAACGCCCGCAATGTTTCTTGGGGTGGAATAATGTTGGCCCTGTTTGATTGTGAACGTTCTTTGACTGATAAAGAAATGGATCATCAATAATAACTCTCAGGTGACATCAAGAGTGGTGAGTTTAAAAATAAACGTCCAGCATAAAGAATGCAATGGTTTGATGTTTTTGTATTGCAGAACTGAGAAACTCGACAATTCTTACTAGTTGCGTAGTGGTAGAGAGGCCCCTGCGGAATTCTAATTGCTGATTATGCAGTACGGTGAGAACAGGGTCCAACCAAAGCTAACGGCGTTTCATCCATATTTATTATCTGTGACCAAAGAAGTTTTCTTTTGTCAATAATATCTGTCACATATTTTAGAAAAGATGCCTTTTTGTCCTGCCAGTCCATTGGTAATTGTTGCCCGACTGTAACAATTACCAATGGACTGGCAGGACAAAAAGGCACCTTTTCTCACGCACAGAAATATTTTTTCTTTTCATAAATCTGCTACACCAGCAAGGCCCTCCTTTTGAAATCATTTATGTTCATTCGCTTTGCTATAAATTTTGCTTGTAAGCGAATTTTTACAGTCGAAATTTCCATTCCTGTTTTTCGTTGCTCCTTTATCCAGTTTGCAAGGTCGTCCTCTAGATTGGCTCGTTTCTGTTGTGGCATATTTTTAAGTTCTTCTTTTTCAGTTCTCTAGCGTCGAATACATCTCTTGTCCACTTCAAACTCTCGAGCTGCTGCTCTATTTCCAATTTGTTCAGCACGGGAAATTACAATAAGCTTAAAACCAGCAGTATAGCTTCTGTGCCGTTTAAGTGTCATTTTCAAAAATTTTCTGCTCCCTTCTTACTTAAAAACTATCCAACAAGTACTTGTACCCAAACTGATGGGATCTGTATCTTGCAGAATGCCAAGAAAAATCCATTCATGCTGAAGGGGAAATACGTCAGAGATCCTTATTGCGAGGCAGGTGGAGTCGTGTCCACCTTTGAAAAAAATTGCAGAAAAGGCTGGGGTGGGGAAAAAGATGGGTCCTGGAAGATTCATCGAATGGCAGAGGAAAGAGACTATTCAAAATGATGAGAATGCTGATTTGAAAGGGGACGAGAATGTTATTGTTCTGAGATCCCGTTTAGGGTGAATAAGGCATGTAGGTCCATTTAACCTTTTGAGGCCAGGGCTTTGGTAGCAAAAAAGCTACCAAAGGACAAGGCATCATGTATGTCGCAAAAGGAAGACCTTTGAAAGAGATAAATGGTTAAAACCCTAGGGACATCAAATTTGACATTTCTCCCCACTTTTCAGCCTGGAAAATGGGGGAAAAAGACATGGTCACTAAAGTGGACAACCCCGTCTTTTCAAAGAGAGGACTCTATGGCCACTATAATGGCCATCCCATCTTCAAAAGGTTAAGGGAAAGAATGTAAACAAAATAACGTTCGCAAAAAGCAACTGAGTGGTCTTTTGTGTGGGAACAGCACCAGTCTATGTACAGTGACAAGGCCATCCAAACTATGTACAATGACAAAGTTATTCAAACTATGTATAGTGACCATCATAGGAAATATCTTATTTTTAGTGCACCTAAATGCCGCATGAGTAGAAACGCCGGAACCGCTGAAATTTTAAGTTTTGAATACGTAAACGCTGCGGTGTTTTTTCTGGAAATTACGGTATTACATCATTGTAACTTTGATTGTCGTTATGTAATGTTTATATTTCTATTGCAGGCTATTGCTGATTGTTATGTTGCATTTATGCACTGTATTGCGAAAGGCAGTCCAAAATTGTATAAAGAAGAGTGGTTGATCCACTATAAAAAAATGCTTACAACTATGCAACAAATACTAAATAATTTTGTCCTCTTTATTACGAGTGGTAAGCTGATGATTTTTCCATTTAATATAAGATATTTTGCTTTCCTACTTTCTTTAAAAGTATAAATGTCATCTGAATAAATGTAAGTTTATCAGGTTCAATGTTTCTTCTAACCTTCTTCGGAAACATACAATGACCTGACTAGAACAGAGAGCTTACTAAAGCTATGTTCACTAATTGTAGTAAGTAGACAGGATACAGACGAAGGGTATACAAAACCCTTTATTTTTTTCTTTATATACAATGACTTCCGTACTTCGGAATACAATGACCCTCCACTCGGGGTCTAACTTAAAAGATATCAAAATAAAACTAAACTCTAATTTAACTTTAGAATAAGATTGGCCTTATAATAACAGGAAGCGTATGTAGCACAGAGACTGTGAACACTACAATACGTTTAATTTATCAAGAGGATTAAAACCTCTGGCCTGGAAGGCAAAGTAGCAACTGCGTAACTTCTAAGGTAAGCGGCCTGCTTCGAACTCACGGCTTCCTCTCTCTCTGCTTGGCAAAAAGGCCACACTTAAATACTTGGCGTTCGCCAGACAACTTTGCATAAACTCCTTCACGCTTATAATTCTGGCCGGAAGTAGAAAATAAGAAGTGATAGTAAAGATTTAAAATAAAATAAACGTTAGTAAAACTTAAGATCCTTACATACTTCCCGCCAGAGTTAATTAGTTTGAAACTGAGGTCTAAAACGACCTTGTTGAAAACTTTTAGCTCTAGAAACTAACGCGAGGCCAACCTTTTACAAACATAACTTAGCTAGAAACTAGAAAATTTTAAAAGAAAGAAATTTGTTACAATAGCAGCTCCCGGAATATACAACAATCTTTTTTTTTTCATCTGTACTGCATCAAAACAGGAGCTTTATTCAATTCTGGTTCCTTCCAGAGATCTGGAAGGAAAACTAGTTTAATGAAATGTTACAGAATGACATTGCAAATAACATATAGAATATACTTTTCTTAACATTCTTATTTCATTCATGACTATTTTAATTATCTCTCCCCGTGCTCTCTGACATGTGTTGTAAAAACACCAAACACGAATGTGTTTCTGTCTATGTGTTCAACACTTCCTCCTACAATCAAAACACTAACGTGTTAAAATTCAACATACGAGACCTCTTAACACACCCTAATTTCAACTCTAGACCCTGAGGTACTATTCTGAAAGTGGCTAACTCTAAAGTGTAGCGTCAGAGAGCCTAACTACATCATTCAACCTTTAACACATATTCACCATGATTTAATCTTTACAGTCACACGAATAACAAAATTTTTTAACATTACTTTCACTTTTACCATATCACGGTATTTCTAAACATTCAAAATAACAGTTCACATGTATACAAGAACATATCAAGATGCCGTTAATTTTACACATTTGAAAACATACATTAGTAGTACATTGTTAACTTCTATTCTTTTCAAAGCAAGTGCCAATTCTTTCTACATTGAAATAATACTACATTTCAAAAAGTCTTTCAGACTAAAACTTCTTTCTTGTTAGAATGTTTTAAATAAAATTTATACAATAACTTTTTAAGTCTTTATACACAACGCTATTATACATCAACTTTAGTTTTACGCGCGAGTAATTGAAAAACATAATAAGAAAATCGGTCACACAACTCATTTCTCGCCCTTTTGGCGATAAAGGTAGACCTCGCATGAGGTAAAACTTCTTGAAATCTGCCACTTGCAGTAAGAATGAAAGATTAACTTAAGTTTGTAAAGTAACACAAAATTTTACTTATCTTTGTAATATTCAGACATCCTTTTCTGGGCCCAGTCTTTAAAGGTGCTGCAGACCGTTGCTTGGTTGATCCTCCTTCTTGTACGGGCTCGCCCTTCAGTGCTTTCCTCTGGAAGCTTCCGTTTTTCACCACTACGGCCACCCTTGAACATCTTCCTTCTGTCCTCTGCTTGTGGTCTTGGCCGTTTGAAGGCAGCTGGTCTTGGTGGAACCGGGAAACTTCTGTCGTGATCCTGCTTGGACCTCGTTGTTGGCCGTTCAAATTTTTCTTGTACTTTTTCCTCCGCCGCTGATGGCCCTTCCGCAGTTCGGCGACTTTTGCTGCGGAGAGTTCTGTCGGATGAGTCAATCTTCCGTTTCACAGCCGGGTTATAGTTGCCGTCCTTTCTCCCGGTCTTTTCCACATACGTCGTCCTTCTCCCTTCTTCATTCTGGGGGTGTTCGTGAACTCTGTTTTTTGGACGGTGGAACGGCTTCTTTTTCTTTGTACCTTCAATTTTTCCGCGGGGCAATTTTCTTTTCACTTGCTTCTGTCTCTCATTGGCTTGCCCTTGTACTTGTCGTTTTCCCACCTCTGGAACTTGTACCTGCGGTGTCTGCCGTACCGGATCCTGCAAAACATCTGAAAAGATTTGCATTTTTTTACGGTCATAGAATGGTTTATCTGGTCAATGTTTGCGGAACAGGTTTCACCATTTCTTGCCTTTAACACTACAACAGCGTGAGTTATTTTTTCTATAACATATGGTCCTTCAAAGCGTGGAAAAAATTTGGCAGTTTTATCTTCTGGTGCTGAAGAAAGTGAATGCTTAATTTTTAGTACTTCATCCCCTACTTTATAAGTTACTCCCCGTCGTTTCAAATCATAATACAATTTTCTGTTTTCTTTGTGCTACTTCCGTATTCTTTTTGCTTCTTCCTTAATTAGTTTTTCTATATCACCCATTTTAAATTCTGGGGCTCTTTGTTGCACATAAAATAATTTATCTAACGGTGTTATAATCTTTCTGCCTAGAAATAACTCAGCAGGAGTTTTGCCCGTTGTATCATGTTTTTGCGGTCCTAAGGGCGAAAGCAAATTCATTGACATAGTTATCCCAGCTTTTATGAAAATTTTTAACATAACTACGGATAATTTTCACTATATTTCTGTTGACCCGTTCCGCTATATTTGATTGCGGCCGATACGGGACCATTTTTAAATGACGTATGCCCAGTTTTTGGCACATGTCTTCAAATATATTACTTACAAATTGAGGACCATTATCCGATATAACTTTTAGGGGCGCCCCGTATTTTAAAATATATTTATTTAAAATAGAATCGGTAACTAATTTCGCGGAGGCTCGTTTTAAGGGAACAATTTCGGTCCATTTACTAAAATGATCAACTATAACAAGGAGATAGCGACTTTTGTTTAACTGACTTTTTGGGAAAGGGCCCAATAAATCGATGCCGATTATTTCATTTGGAAATTCGGATTTAATACTATTTAGAAACCCGGCCGGGCGGAAATTAATATAATTAACGGCTTGACATGTTGGGCAGGACTGGACATACGCCCTTGTTAACTTTTGCAGTTCAGGAAAGTAGACTGCCTCGCGTACGCGTTGGAGTAGTTTTTCGAATACCAGCATGAGAAGCTAAAGGGCTGTCATGGAGCTCTTGCAGGATATTTAATCTAAGACTAGCTGGGATAACAGGTCGAAATTCGTTGTTGGAATTCGTAGTTTTTGTATAAAATAATAGACCATCTATTAGTTCGTAATGGGCCGCCCTATTTCTTATCGCCACAATATCTTGGTGGCTAAAATTTTCAGGATCCTTCAAATACTCATAAATACTTCCAAACTCAGGATCCTTACCCAGTTCGGTTATTACAGTTTCTCGGGAATTTATTGTACACGCTGTCAGCATTGCAACTTTTACGGTATTACCCTGTTCGTCTAATTTAATTCGTGACAGGGCATCTGCTACGATATTTTCCTTTCCGGGGGTATGCTTGATTACCAGATTATATTCTTGCAGCTTGAGTGCCCATCTTATTAACCTTGGGGATATAAAATTTTTCCAGAGTACAATCTAGTTACCGCCGCATGATCAGATATACTGTTATCGGCGCCTTTCCAAAATAGACTCGGAACTTTTGCACTGCTAACAGAACTGCAAGTGCCTCTCTCTCGGTCGCGGAATAGTTTCTTTGTGTTTGATTTAAAGTTCGGCTAAAAAATGCCTACGGGCTGCTGATTTTGCGAAAGTACCGCTCCTACCGCATAATCCGAAGCATCCGCTGAAATTTCTAAATTTTCATCCTTTTCAGGAAATTTCAACACAGGGGCTTGCGTTAATGCTTGTTTTAATTTTTCGAAAGCACTATTGGCTTCGGCCGTCCACGAGAATCTTGCCTTTTTCCTTTTTAATTTTAACAATGGCTCAGCGATAGCCGCAAAATCTTTTATAAAGGACCTATAATATGAACAAAGTCCTAGAAAAGAAGAGAGCTTCTTTGCCGTGTTTGGAGTCGGATACTTTTGTACAGCGATTATTTTTTGATTCATCTGTCTCGATCCCTTTTTGCGATATTTTGTAACCTAAATATTTTAATTCAGGGGCTGCAAATTTGCATTTTTCGACATTAACTTTTAGACCGGCCTCATTTAATAAAGAAAACACCTGTCTTAAATCCTGTACATGTTGGTCTAGATTATCACTAGTAATAATGATATCGTCTAAATAGATAAATGTGGACTTTCCGAGAACAGGTCTTAACACAATGTCCATGCATCGCTGAAATGTGTTGCTGGGGCGCCTGAAAGGCCAAACGGCATTCGCAAAAATGCATAAGTGCCAGACTTGGTTATAAAAGCAGTCTTAGGCACGTCCTCAGGCCTGATCCCTATTTGAAAATAACCATTCGTTAAGTCTAAAGTCGTCATAAATTTGGTTGATTTTATGTTCCTTAAAATTTCTTCTATAATCGGTAACGGATATACCGGATATTTCGTTATGGAATTTAATTTACGGTAATCAATAGCGAATCTCCACCTTTTTGGATGCTCCAAAGGATAATCATTATTTTTCTTACATAAAACCACCGGACTAGCATAACTACTTGAGATAGGCGTTACGATCTTTTTACGTAGCATATCGGTAATATGCCATTCTATAATTTTTTCCTTATTCTTATCATACCGGTATGGGTTTTGACGAACCGGCAATGCATCTCCGGTGTC